GTAAATGCCACGGCCCCAACAGCCGCTCTCTGTTCCAAAAAAGCATGAGGTCATCCCTAAAAGCAGGGATTGACACTGGGATACCAGTCCCAGGCTCCCCCTTTGTCCCCCCCTTCTCTTTCCTGGCACCAGCCCGGCTCCGGGATCGCTCCGTGTGGCTCCGCTCCGGTGCCTGGCCCTGCTCCAGGAGGGGATCCAGGCTCCCACCTGGGCAGGAGCTGCTCCAGCCGAGCAAGGGCGGTCTGTGTGGGGGGCTCGGATACCCCTCGGGCTGCAGCCAAGGCGGGGTTGGCTTCCTGCAGCTCCGGTTTGGGGTCGTGCAGCTCGGGATGCTGCGGGTGTGGGGCTGCCCTTTAATGAGCTAAAAGCACAGTTTGACCAAGGCCGAGATCCTGGAGCGTGGCCTTGCCCTGACCATCTCCCCACATCCCTTCCCAGAGAGGAGCATCCCGCTCCCTCATCCCAGGATGCAGGTGGTGCTCTCCCAGCGCTTTCCACAAGCACCGATCCCACATTTTGAGCAGCGGGGGGAGGGGGGAAAGGAATACAAAACCAGCGCAACTCGGGCAGGTACTCAGGTGCTCGGTGTTTATTCGCCCTGCAAAGGAGTGGCGGCTCCCAGCTATGAGAAGCACGGCAGGAATTCCGAATCGGGAGGGATCAGCGCGTGTTTGTGCCGTGCCGTCACCGCTCCCGCCGCGGGGCCGGAGCGGGAAGGTGGCAGCCGGCGGCTGGAAGGGAAACGGGGCCGGTGCCAGGCGGGGATGGATGAGCGGCTGTCGGGGCAGAGCAGGCCGGGGCAGGCCCGCCGGCCCCGGGGCCAGTTTCGGCATCCCGGGGCCGCCGTTTCGGTGGTGCCGGGCCGGGCTCCCGCAAACCCCGCCCTGGATCCCGCCGAGCCCTGCATCCCGGGAGCGCCGCGGGCGCGGAGCTGGGAAGCGGAGGGAAGGGAAGGGAAGGCAAGGGAAGGGAAGGGCAGGGAATGCTCGGAGAGAGCTCCGCGGGAGGAAGGAGGCGGCTGCTCCTGCACGGAGCCGCTGCTGAGTCACCGCCCGTCAGAGCCGGCGCTGTGTCACCGCTGCTGTCACCGCGCTGTCACCGCTGCTGTCACCGCGCGGCTGCGGCACGCGGCTGACTCAGGGGCTGCGCGGGTTCGGGCTGTCTCTCCCTCGGCAAAACAGCCCAAACGAGGCCTTTCGCAGCCCGCCCGCTGCAGAGGGAGCTCTCTCGGGAACAAGGGGAGGCTCTGCGAGGCGCGGAGGTGCCACCCCGGTGGGTGCTGCCCTGACGTCAGGGATGTGCAAGGACGGACCCGGCGCAGCCCCGAGTTCCCGCTGTCCCACCTGCTCGGGAACACGGAGCAGCCTTTTTTTGGGAAGGGACGTGATGTGAACAGAAGGCTCGGTGTGTTCCTTGAAATGCTTTTGTTTGGTGGTGGTGAGTGATCTCCTCTCCCAGGAGAGGAGATTTGAGGCTGATCTGGAGTCAAACCGAGCTGGTGCAGGACGTGGTTCTGAGCATCCTGACCTGCCCTTAGTCCATAATGTGCAAAACAGTTTAAAACAGCAAATCCTGATTGTTTCAGGATGTATCCTGACTTAACTGCTGGGCCTCAGTATTCCAGTGCTTTTCCTAAAACAGGCAGCAGTGTTCCTGGGGTGTTTGTGCTGCAGCCAGAGCGTCCCTCGGGTTGTGTTTACCTCATTCCCGAGCACACTGTGCCCCTCACCTGCACTCCAAGATCCTTGTCCGGGTTTCACAACCTCCCTCAGGGCTGTTTGTGTTGGCCTTGACCTTGGAACACTCCTGGGCGACCCATCACTGCCCGTGCTCTCGTGTTCTCTGAATTTCTGTTAAATCTCAGTGGTTTTAGTGCTGCAGCATTTTCCATCCACCGTCCCACCCCAGGGGTGGGAAGTCTTGCTGCAGCCCCGAGCCCTGGTAATGCCTCCCTGGTCTGGGATCTGCCAGATCCCTCTGCTGCCAAAGGAACAGGGATAACAGCCCAGAGAGCTGCAAGATCTGGCGACTTCATCCCTCCTGGAATCACTCACCGACAGAGCGAGAAACGAGCTGACGTGGTGGGAACGCAGCGAGAGCCGTTCCCGAAAATGGGAACGTTCTGGGCAGCCCGGGAACGCTGCCGGGGAGAAGGGGAGGATGGATGAGCCGGGAAGGCAGAGGGTGCTCTGGCAGGAGCGCAGGAGGGTTTATTTTTGCTGAGTGATGTGTGCTGGTGACTCAGCGGGGCCGTTCTGCCGAGTCACGGGAACGCTCAGGGCTCAGCCCTGGCCCGGCGCCGGCAGCAGCAGGAGGTGGGTCCAGGCCAAACCCTGCAGGCTTTGCCCCTCTGGCAGGAAGGAGTTCTGGCTGTGTGGGTTATTCCTCCACAGTCAGATGCCAGCACAGGCAGGAGGATGTGCAGGAGACCCCTGGGTGTCCCGACTGTCCCGTCCTTCCCGCTCAGGCCCAGCCACAGACGTCACATCCCTGTCCCTTCCCAAACACCGAGTTCTCCAAGGTGGGCAAAGGGACGACGGAGCTGCGTCCGGACCCAGGACAGTCCCAGTGTCCCCCTGGCTGACATCACACCCCCCTCAGTGCTGCTCTCCAAATTCCTTTACCTCATGGGTCAGTCCCGCCCCGCTCCGAGTGACATCCCCAAAGTTTGTTTTGGCTTTTGCCACCTCCCGAGGACGCCCTGGGGATCCATACCGGGTCTGTGGATCGATGGCCTGCGGGTGCCAGTGACGTGCCTGGTTAATTGTTCACCCCGGGAACAGGGAACAGGAGCCGCCGTGCAGATCCCGCCAGGAGCAGCCCGTGCCCTGAGCCCAGTGCGGGTCCTGCTGTGGGATCGGGGAAACAGGGATCCACTGGGGTGGTGGGAAGCTGCAGAGCAGTTGGAACAAAACTTCTACCCCCTTGCCAAGGATTTTAAAAACACTCGTTTGGCAATTCCTGCCACGGAGCAGGACTCTCTCCACGCTGGCTTTCCTCAAGCCAGGCTGGGTTCCCCAGGATGCTGCAGGGACAGGGATGGGGACAGGGATACAGGCTGTGCTTCTCCCAGAAGTCCCCTGAGGTAACTCTCCCTCGGCTGATTCATCAGCCTCCTTCCATAAACAGGAAGCTGGGAAAGTACAGGCAGGTGATCCTGCGCTGCTGCAAACATGAAATACTTGGAAACACGGATTGCTTGGATTTTTTTTTTCCCCCAGCTGCTGCTAATTCCTTACCCAGGTGCACATTGTTTTGGGGAACTGTTTGCAGCAGGAAGGTCTCTTGAGTTCACAGAACGGACTTAGAAAGAACTTGACTTTGAGATGGAGCTTTTCCTGCTCCTAATCCCGCCTGCACTGCTTTGGAGCGCTTCAGGCTGGAGCAGGAGAGGAGGATCCTTCCCCCGGGGACCAGCCTGCTTCCTTCTCCCGTTTTCCACAGAACCAGACTTGGTTCCACCCGTGTGTCTCCCCGTGTCACCCCGACTGACGCCTCCCAGGGCTGGAGGGGCGGAGATTTCCGAATAACCCCCCTAGTTCAGGGAATCATCCCGTGCTGGATCGGGAATGCTGGCTGGAACACTGCCTGTTTTCTCCCACAGCATCCCGTGTTCCAAACGCTGCTCGGGGATCGAGGAGCTCAGCGCGTGTTGGATGCTGCTGCCGAGCCAAATGATCCCCGAGAGTGCCCCTGTGGTCTGGAATAAACTCCCTTAATGTCTAAACACAGGCGAGACAGCCCGAGCCTGCGAGGATTTGGGATGGGGCAGGAACTCCCGCCCTGCTCCCCCCCCGGGAAGGCTCAGCTTTGAAGCTGCCGGGCCTGGGGAGGACGTTGGAGGAGTCTCTAATTAAAGCAGGCACTGCAGGGCTGTGGTGGGCGGCTGGAGGGACCCGGGAGCGCCGCTGGATCCGGCTCCGTGTTTGCTTTGGCTCCTTCCTCCTCCCGGCTCCGTCTCCTGGGCGGCGGGAGGTGGGAGCTGCACCCTCTGCCCTGGCACTGAGTGGTCTGGGGCTGTGCTGACACCTCTGCAGAGCCCCCCTGGGATGTCACAGAGAAAACCACCCGGGAATGGTGCCCGTCCAAGGGATCCAGCGTGGCCGGAGCTGCCCCCGGGGTGCCCGGCCCTGGCTGCGGCTGCACGGCCCCGTGACAGGACTGCTTTGTTTGGATCTGGGGACAAACTCCTTCAGGTGCTGCTGCTGCTGCATTTCAAGGGAGGTGGTTTAACCACTGCCTGCTCCTGCCAGGGTGTCCAGCTGCAGCAGGGGATGCAGGGACACGGCCCCGCAGGAATGTGGGACGTGATCCTGTGAGCTGGTCAGACACGACCCCACGGGCAGGTTGGACATGATCCTATGGGCAGGTTGGACATGATCCCATGGAGAGGTTGGACATGATCCCATGGGCAGATTGGACACGATCCCATGGGCATATTGGACACAACCCAACGGGCAGGTTGGACATGATCCCATGGAGAGGTTGGACATGATCCCATGGGCAGGTTGGACACGACCCCACGTGCAGGTCGGACACCACCCCACGGACACGGCCCCATGTGAAGGTGGCCCCTCCCCAGGTGACAGAGACACTAAAGCCCCACCCCAGGGAGGCTGCAGGTGGGTCCGTGGGACCCTGGGAGCCCACCCCAGTGCCCAGCTCGGGGTGGGGCTCCAGCAGAGCTTTGCTTCTGTGGAAAAAGGTTCTTATTTTTCCGCTCTCGTCGGCAAAGTTTTTGCTGCTTCAGGGAAAGAGGAACTTGAAGCAAAACCAGGAAACGTTCCACTGGTGTCATCAGAGCTCCTGGAAGCCCTTTGCACGTGGCTGTTGGGGCGGACACAGTCCATGACCCTTCCCAAGATGGAAGTGGAAGGTGTCCCTGGAACTGGAGGGGCTTTGAGGTCCTTCCTGACCCTCCCAGGATTCCTGGATGGAGGGCGGTGTCCCAGCAGCCCCGTGCACGGTGCCAACCCCAGTTTTCCCCCGTTTTTTTGCAGGATTCTCCTGTGCTGGGGCCTGGAGCCGATGGCAGAGAATGTCAACAACTAACAACATAGCGCAGGCCCGGAAGCTGGTGGAGCAGCTCCGCATCGAGGCCGGGATCGAGAGGATCAAGGTGGGTGTGAGAACAGGAAGGGACCCCGGGCAGCTGCTTTGGGATCTCCCAGCGCCACTGTGACGTCTCCAGTTGGGATGTTGGAGCGTTCCAGTGTCCCAGAATTCCCTCCGGGATCTGGAGGAAGCTGCAGAGGGACTCTCCGTCGGGAACTGCGGTGACAGGATGAGGAGTGATGGGTTCAAACGGAAAGAGGGGAAATTTAGGTTGGATATACAGAAGGAATTCCTCCCTGTGAGGGTGGGGAGCCCTGGCACAGGTTGCCCAGAGAAGCTGTGGCTACCCCATCCCTGGAAGTGTCCAAGGCCAGATGGAGCAGCCTGGGATAGTGGGAGGTGTCCCTGCCCAGGACTGGATGGGCTTTAAGGTCCTTCCAACCCAAACCATTCCAGGATTCTGTGACAGGTCTGGAAGCAGGAGCTGGAGGAGCTCCTGGGAGGGGTCTCAGCACTGTTGCTCTTTCCCAGCAAAGCCTTTGGAGCACTCCCAGCTCCAAAGGTCAGGAAGTGCACTCCCCCCTCCTCCCTCCGTCTGGGATCCTGGAGCTGAGCCACCGTCGTTCCCCTCAGCACTGTCTGCTGGGGGAAGACCTGTAATTTAGCTTGTCTTCCCTAAAAAGCCTGGCTGGAGCCTGGAAAGGCCCTAAAAACAGCTACAAACCCTCGTGGTTTAAAAAAGAACCAGCCCAGGTTGCTCCAAGCCCCGTCCAACCTGGCCTTGGACCCTTCCAGGGATGGGGCAGCTCTGGGAAATCCTTTCCAGTGCCTCATCCCCCTCACAAGGAGGAATTTCCTCCTCACGTCTCAGCTGAATCTCCCCTTTTGTGTTTTTTTAGGATTTTTTTGTGTTTTTTCAGAACTTGCAGTTCTGTGCCATCGTTAAACGTTTCAGCGGGAGCCAAAAGCTCAAAGCGAGGAGGAAAAGTGGGATAAAACCCCTTTTCTCTGCAATTTTGGTCAAACCCCTTCCATCTGTGCTTCCACCCCACGGGGTGGGGACCCTTTTGTGTCTCTTGGGAAGGCAGATCCAGAGACAAGGAGCTTTTGGGGGGAATCTCCAAGCATTTTGCAATATTTAGCATTAAAGTTCTGCCCAGGAATGAACATTCCAAACGCCCTCAGCACAGAAATTGGGATCCCAGAGCAGAACTTGCTGCAGGGGCAAGGTCAAGGCTGTGCTTAAAGCAATTAATCCCTTAAGACACTAATTACCCCCAATCCCAGAGGGGAGGGATCGGCTTGGCCTGAGCTCGGGGGGACCTGTGAGGAGATCCTGGAGTGACCTGGAAACCTCCACATCCCCTGGGAGCCTCAGTGGGACACTCTGAGGGGGGAGGAGAAGGGAGGGATGAGCCAGGGGTGGATTTGGGAACGATCTGGCCCCTCTGGCACCAGGGAGGAGGGAAATCAGGGCTCTGGTTCCATCTCTGTCCTGTGTTTGCCCCACGTTCCACCAGTGATTGAAGGTCATGTGGACAAAAAAAGGGATCTGTTGGTCTCCAGAGCCTCTGGCAGCTCCCTGTGGACTCTCCCCCTCCTCGGAGCCCTTCCCAAAAACCAGCTTTGAACTCAACCGAGCAGAGCCTTGAGGAGCAGTTTCCAAGGGTTTCCACAGCTCTGTTTTTAACGTCAGAGGCTGCACCCAAACAGGCCTTTCCCTTGCCTGTTCATCCCAAATCCCTCAAAAACGAGGGCAGTAACTCCTGCTTTTCAATCTTTCGCTCTCAGCCAGGGTTATTTCCCCACACTCATCTCTTTATTTACGCCAGACCATAAAAACACTCCATTTCCACATCCAATTCCCCAATTTATCTCTCCCCATCTCCTTAATTTTCTGTGAGGAAAAGCTGGGTGTCAGCTCCCTCTCTCTGGAGCTGGGAACATCCCCGCTGACCTCCTGTTTTTTTCCCAACATTCCAGGTCTCCAAAGCCTCTTCTGAGCTCATGAACTACTGTGAGCAACATGCCCGGAACGACCCGCTGCTGGTTGGAGTTCCTGCTTCCGAGAACCCCTTTAAGGACAAAAAGCCCTGTATCATCCTATAGCTCCGGCACCGCCCCCGGATCCCTCCGGAAGGGCATCCTGCTCCATCCACTGAATCCGAGCTCCGACACCTGCACCTGCGCCCGGGGGTAAACACTAAACGTTGGCTTCAAACAGAACTTAAATTCCCGAAAAAAAAAACCCAAAAAAACAACAAAACACCACAAACCAACCAATTACACGGAGATAATAATAATAATAATTTGGGAGCGGTTTTTTAGGAAAGGGTGTTCCCGTTCCCGGGAAAGGGGCGCGTGGAGAGAGGGGTCAAAATTGAAATCGGAATTCAGAATAAACCGGGGTTGGAGGGAGGAGGGGGGGGGAGGATTTTAATAGGGATATTGGAATTTGGGAGGGGGTCGTGGCGTTCCCAGTGGGATGTGAGAGTGGAGCTCCAGGACCTGGCGCTGGACACGGCTCCGAGTGCTCTGATCCAATTAAGTCTCCAATCAGCAGGAATTTTGCTCTCGTTTCTGGAGAGGGAACCAGGAGGGGGGGCCCAGGTGGGAGCGATTTTGTAGAAAATTAGTACCAAAAAAACAAAAAAAAAAGAAAAAAACAAACAAACAACAACAACAACAACAAAAAAACAGCTGGAAAAATCCCTGTTGGGAATGGCTGGAGGGAGGTGGGGGGGCCCCTTCCCTGCATCCCACGGCTGCGCTCGGAGCAGGGAATGGCCCCCGGGGGGGAACAGATCCTGGGAGGAATGTCAGGGAGCCCCAGGGATGGGGGAGGCCGGGACCAGCCCCCCCGGCTGCTCCTGGGGGGTCTCTGTGCTGGGGAAGGGGGGAAGGACCTTCCAGGTGGGCATCCAGAATCTGGGAAAATCGACCTTTTGGGGAGTTTCAGCCCAAAACACGAAAACCAGCGAATTTCCCAACATTTCCCGTCTCCCTCACCGGGAGCAGCAAGTGGAATTCTTTCCAGGGATCCCAGGGAATGAGGCTCAGCGGGAGGGGATCGATGAGGTTTAGGGGAGATGAGGGTGAGGAGAAGAAACAGTTCAGTTCCCATCCCTTGGGAATCTCGAGCTGGGATTTGACAGGGAGCACCGTGTTCCCACTGGGATAACCCGGAGCAGGAAGAGGGGGAGCAGGAGAGCCTTCCTCCCACGGAGCCTGGGAGTGTGCTCGGGAGAGAGCCTGGAGCTCAGGGAAGTCCCATGGAGCTCCCCAGCCACTGGATCTGTCGGGAAGGGGACGGATCCCAGGATTGCCGAACCCGATCCGTGCCCACAGGGCAGATCCCGGGGCTCAGGAGCTCCTTGGAACGCGGCCAACAGTCCCAGAATCCCAGAATTAGGTTGGAATCTGGGATCATCAAGTCCAGCCTCCCACCGTAGGCAGAGGCACCGTTTGTGGCCATTCCCAGTTATCCTGAACACGGGTGTTGGTTTCGGGAAGAGGAGGAAAACACCAAAATCAACCAACCAACCACACCTGGTGTGAAATCCTGGGAGTTTCCCCATTCCCCCAAAGCTTTGGATTTGGTTTGAAACGCCAGAGCCTCCACTGGGATGGGAACCACAGGGGGCAAATCCCTTCATGGGACTGGGAGCACTTCCCATGGGAAAGGGGGGCTGGAGGAGACCCCTGGACTCGGCTGATCCCCCCCCCCGTGCTGTCGTGGTCCAGTTGGAGGGAGAATCCTTGCAGCCCAGACTGGGGCTACTGGTGGGAGTCACTAGCGCAGGCAGGATACTGGGAGCTTCTCTGGCTGCTCTCCGGAGGCAGATAGAATTCCCAGGGCTGGCACTGGCTCCCAGGCACTGGGAGCTGCCAGAGTGGGGCTCAGAGACAGGGAGAGGAGCAGAGCATGGCTGGTACCCAGGGAAAGGGATTCCTCCTGGGATACCGGGGGGGCTGGGATGGGCAGAGCTGCTCCGTTTCCATTCCTTGGTTGCAGGAATCTCGCCATTCCTTGTTTTCAGTCTGCCATCACTTGCCTTTTAAACAGAATTGGGAAAATCCCACGTTTTTAACACTAACAGAAACCTCCCGTGTGCGCCCACCCCGGCTTTCCCGGGATCCTGGGAAAAGCTCCTGTGTCCCCCCCACTGTGTCCTGGGCTCCTGACCCGGCATTCCAGGGCACAGGTGACCCCTTGGATGCCACCCCCTCCCGGTGTGAGGGAGCAGAGCAGGGAAAAGGGGGATATTTCCCTCTGTGCCCCCTCCCCGTCCCCAGCGCAGCGACAGCAAAACCCTCTTTGGTGAGTTCTGTCCTAAATCCAAAATAACTCCAAGCTCCCGCCCGCCGGGAGGGAACGGACACTCCGAGTCCAGCCTGGGCTCAGCCACAGCCGGGCTTTCCCTTCTCCAGGAGGGAATTCCCTCTGTCCTTAATCTCGTACAGTTCCAGCCTTATTTTTCTACTCCAGATCGCTGATTCTTCCTCTGTGTTAGAGACCAGAGCATGGTGCTATCCCGGAGCCGCGGGCACGGAGCGGGAGCGGAGCCGGGAATTCCCCCTCCTCCTCCTCCTCTTCCTCCTCCTCCGCCACCCGGGCAGGGGCTGCCGGACCCCCCCGGCATCCTCAGGGGCTCCAACATCCCGCCCTTCCCGGCCCCTCCTCGGCAAATCCTGTGGGATGCTCGGCCAGCGAATCCTTTGGGATGCTGGGCCGGCAAATCCAGCCGGGCACAGCACGGTCCAGCATTTTGGGGTCACTCTGCCTCCCCCCTCTTGTCCTTCCACCTCCCAGGGGTCCTGCCCGAGCTGTGCCCGTGCTGCAGCCGGGGGAAAGGGGCAGGGAGAAGGGAAGGAGCCGGGAACTGGGAGAAGGGGCAAGGAGCCGGGAAAAAGGGGCAGGGAGAAGGGAAAAGGAGCCGGGAAAAGGGGCAGGGAGAAAGGGGCAAGCTGGGAAAAGGGGCGAGGAGCCGGGAGGTGGGAGAAGGGGCAGGGAGCAGGGGCAGGGAGCCGGGAGAAAGGCCATGGAGCATCTCCCACGGGAGCCTGGGGACAGGGCTGGAGGCTCCTTGGTGCGGGGGCTCTGGAATGTGCCGGCGGCCGAGGGTCCCGCCGGAGCCGGGGGGTGGGAGCTCCGTGCTGGGGCTCCGTGGGTGACTCGTTTCGGTGGAAAAAATCCTTGATTTTGAATTTTTTTCTTTTTTTTCTTTTTTTTCTTTTTTTTTTTTAATTCTATCCTCGTCTGAGTAAATCCGTGCTCATCCTGTAGGTGTTTTTGTATGGCATAAATAGAAGTGCAGATTCCAGTAGTTGCTTGTACTTTGTTAGTGCATTTGCCAAATAAATTAAAAAAAAAAAAAGAAAAAAAAAGGGAAAAAGGAAGAAAAAAAAAAACCACACACACACAAAAAAAGACTTTTCAGGACTTTTTAAGTGCTGCAAAGGGCGAGGGGGGAGCGGGAGGAGCCGGAGCCCTGGGCTCCACAAAGGCCTTTTTTTGGAGGTAACCACATGCCCAGATCTGTCCAGCCTTTCTTTATGGCATGTGGTGAAGCCGGTGCCAAAAATAGAAAACTGGGAAAGAAAAGGGAGAGGGAAACATTGCTTCTATTTAATTTTTCCTCCCTTCTCCTTGTCCTGCCCTCCCTGTCTCGGGGGACGGAGCCGGGAGGCTCCCGGGCACCCCGAGCCTGGTGTGGTCCGGAGCCTCTGGATGCTCCCAAATCCCCCTTGTTTCCAAGTGCTTAAAAAGTCGCCTTTATTTAACAAAACCCCAATAACTCATTTATCCATCGCGCGGAGGCCGCGTGGGACCCTCCGCGCTCCTCGTTTCCTTCTCTCTGGTCTATTCTTATAATTATTATTATTATTATTATTATTATTATTATTATTTGCCAAACTCTGATCTCGTTGCCAAACGCCAATCCAGGTTTGTACAGACTGTCCTTAGGAAGTGGTCGGTGTCTGTGCCGTAGGCTCCTCATCCGTCTGCAGTTCCCGGGTTTTTTTTTTTCTTTCTCGTGTGCCATAGCCCGATTTCTCGCACAGTGTTTAATATTTTGTGGAATTGTTGTTCCGAAGTGAATGGATAACACAATAAAAAGGCTCACTTTGCATTTTGCCAGATTTCCTCTCCGGCCTGTCCTGCGCCCGGCACCTGGGTGAGGGGGGAGGAATCGGGTGGGATTGGGAATTCCGGATCCTCGGGGATCGCAGCCCCTCAAGGACTGAAACCCCTCGGGGATCCCCTTCCCCTGCCCTTGGGGATCCCTTTCTCCCACCCTTGGGAGCTGCTCCCACCTCCCTGGTGCTCCCCTCCCCATCCCTGGGTGCTCAGGTGGGATTGGGAATGCCAATTCCTTATGTGGACCCTCAGGGATCACAGACCGCCAGGAATTGCAGCCCCTCAGGAATCACAGTCCCTCAGAGATCCCCTTCTCCCACCCTTAGGAGCTGCTCCCCCCATCCCTGGCGGCTCCTGCCCATCCCAAGCAGCACAGGAGCCATTGGGCATCTCCCGCTTCCCGGAAAGCACCGGAGCCTTCCCACTCCATGGAGCCACAGGGAAACGAAACCCGGAGCAGCTTTCCCTCCCTTTTCGGAGAAAAAGGGTCTCGGCCTGCCCCAGCTTCCTGCTCTGCTTCCCAGCAGCTCCAGGTTCCGGGACCGGACCTGCCCGGTGCCAACGTGCTCCGAGGGAGCCTCTTTCCTGGAAGGCAGCGGGATCCAGGTCGGGGCTCCGGGAGAGGCTTGGAGCGAGTCCTGCAGGAATGTGCTGCTGCTGCTGCTGCTGCTGCTCCGGCCGGGCTGGAGCCGCGTGCCGGGAATAGCTGGGATGGTTCAGTCTGACCGAAACGCCGGCTGGGAAGGGCAGGATGGGCAGCGGGATGGACACTGGGACAGGGGACAGGCAGAGGGACAGGCAGAGGGACAAACAACGGCCTGGGTGAGGGGACAGACAGCAGGACGGAGGCCCCGTGCCAGTGTCCCACAACCAGCGGGGGACAAGGAAGGAGTCCCTGCCCAAACTCCCCCAAAATGAAACCTCCAGGACACGCCGGGAGCGGCTCCTCTCCCGGGAAGCCGCTTCCAAGCGCCGGAGCCGGCACAGGGCGGCGGTGCCACCAGACCTTGTGCCAATGCGGAGCGACACCGGCCGGGTGGCACCGGGGCTGGGAGCGGCTAAAAATAACCCGCCCGCCTCCGCCGGGCTATTTTTAGCCCGGCTGCGGTTCTAATTAAATCCCCGCCGCTCCAATTAACTCCCTGCCCTCGGAGCCCCCTGGCACCCGACGGCACCGGGTGGCCCAGGGACGGCCGCGGGTCCCGGCGGTGCCACCGCGGTTGGCAGCGCCCGGGTGGCACCGGGAGAGGGGACAAAGGCGCAGGGGGGTCCCCCCTCAGCACTGCACGACCCCGGGGTGTCCCCCCCCTCATCCCAGGGACCCCCCCCCCGGGCCCGCAGGGACACGGGGGGGCTCCGAATCTCCCACCGTGGGGGGGGATCCCACGACGTTCCCTCCCCGCCACGGGGACACCCGTGACGCAATGGGGCCACGGCCGTGACGTCACGGGGGTGGCACTTCCCGCTCCGGAATCCGCCCCCCCCGAGCATCACTGGGGGGTGAGGGGGGGGAATAGGGGGGAGCAGCTCCGCGCCTCAGTTTCCCCACGTGCAGCGCAGCCCAAATATCCACGGTCGTGGATCTCGGGACGGGCAGAGCTGCCGGGGGGAGGTCCCGGGGGGTGAGGAGGGCGATGCCCCCCCCCCCATTTCCTGGTCCCCGGTGTCTGTCTGTCCCTGGGTGGAGGCAGAGCCCGGGGCCGGGGCCAGGAGCCGCCGGAGCCACCCAGCCCAGACTCGTAAATCAGCGGCTCCAGAGCGGGATCCGGCCCTGCCCTGTCTGGCTGCAGCCGCCCCAGAGCCAGGAAGGGGCTCAGTGCCCCCCTCCCCAGCCGAAACCCCCCCATTTTCACCCCTCCCACCTCCGCGTGAGGGGTCCTGGCGACACGGGGGGGGGGCGGATTCACCCCTGGGGCCCATCTGGGGCGGCCGGGACCCCCCATCCCCCCAAGCACTCTCTCCCCTCTCTGTAAGGCCTTTTCCGGGGGGGTCTCTCTTGCCCGACACTCATCCTGCAACCCCAGGGCTGGATGAGACCCCCTAACTAATTGTTAATTATCTACTTAATACCCAGGGTTTACTTATCCCCCGGTGATAAAGCAGGGCACGGTGCTGGGAGGGGAATTACGGGGCTGGGGGGTGTCTGGACTTCTCCAGCCAAGCTCGAACCAGTTCAGGACCCCCATTCCCATCCCTGGGATTCCTCTCCCCCGTGCTGGGATGCAGGCAGGGGGCCGAGGGGGTGGGGATGTCTGGTCGTACGTGAATCAGGGACCCCCCCAGACCCCCGCAGCCCCCCCCTCCCCTTCCCCCAGGTGTCTGGATCGGCTCTGGATGGGTGGAAAGTGTGGATCAGTGTCCAGTCGGGATCCCACCGCCCCCACGCCCGGCTGGGACCGCGTGAGTCAGGGCAGACTGCGGGGGGGGGTGGTGAGTTTGGGGGGGCCGAGGAACCCTCTCTGGGGGCCGGGAGGGGCGAGATGTGGCTGCACGGGGTGGGGGTCCCGTTGCCCCCCTCTTGCTGGGGGGTCCAGGGGGTTTCTCTGGGGTCCATCGGGGGGATTCTGGAGGTCCCTGAGGTTGCACCGCGGTGGTTTTTGGGGGGGTCCCAGGTGGTCCCTGTGCCCGCGGGGGGGGGGCAGGGGCGCTGTGGGTGGGTGGGATGTGCGTGACCCGGCCCGGCGGGGGCGGCTCCGTGTGCGCTCCCGGGTGGGCTGCGGTCGGGGCTGCACCGTGGGTGTCCTGCCCGGGCGGGGGGGTCTGTCCCCCCCCTCCCGCCCCCGTGACGCACCCGGCCTGACGCGCTCGTCACACGAGTGGCCCGCGGTGACACCGGGGACAGGAATGGCCCCGTGACCTGCTGCCTCATCAGTGAAACGAGTTTCTGGAGCCTCAGCCGCCCTCGGGCCCTTTCCCTTGGGTTTTCCCAGGTGATCCCAGGGATCGCTGTGCCCCCATCACCTCCCCCCACCCGGCTCCCAGCTGAGACCTCCCAGCTCGTGTCAGGTGTGTCTGGGCAGACCCAGGGGAGGACCAGGCCGGGGGGGGCTTTGCTGTGTGTCCCCCTCTCGGCTGCAGTGGGGGGGTCACAGTCCGGGCCACCCAGAGGGTGTTGCCTCCACCTTGTCCCCTGGGACCCCCAGGATACATCGGGAGGGGGGGTACCCACGGTGGGGGGGCTGTGTGGCTTCACCCGGGGCTGTCACACGTTCCCCCTGTGCCCCCCCTGCGGTCACAGCCCCAAAGGAGGGCACAGGGCACGTCCCCAAGCCACAGGACACCCTGGCATGGCCACGGTGTCCCAGCCAGGCTGGACGGTCACTGTGTCCCTGCCCGGCCGGACACGGTGTCCAGCTGGGCAGGATGGTCCTGGCACAGCTCCCGGCCCTGTTGTGGCACTGCCCACACCTGAGCACACCCCGTGCCCAGCCAGGGGGGTTCTGCCTCCAGGACGGGGCCTGGGGGGTCCCCACACCCCACCACGGTCGCTGCCTCAGTTTCCCCCCAGCCTTTGGGTTCTCAGCCCACCCCTCCATGTCCCCAAATCCAGCCCCCGGGGGACTCCGAGGGAGAACCCAGGTGCCCCTGTCCAGAGGTGGGAGAATTCCCACAGCTCGGCCGTGGGAAGGGATGGGGGCATGGGGGGGTTTCCCAGGCTCTCCTCCCCCCGTGGGTGGCTGGTCCCGGTTCCCGCGGCCTCGGGGGGGCCGTGGTTTCTGTGGGGGTGGGGGGAAGCTCCATCCCATAACCCCGGGCCAGCCCCCACCCACGTGCCTCAGTTTCCCACGGAGCTCAGGGCAACCTGGGGGTGTTTTTCCTGGAAAGACCCTTTTCCAGAGAAGGGCGGGGTGGGAATTTCTCCCTCCCCAGCAGCCCACACACGGGCGGGAACCCCCAGCCCTGCACTAAAGGACCCCCCCACAGCGTGCTGAGCCCCGGGGGGATGTGGGGGGTTGGAGCCCACCCCAAAACCCACCCAGGAGCGGCCCATCCCACTCCCCGTGGGAAGAGCTCCAGCAGAGCAGAGGAAGAGCAAACACCGGTGACTTCAGATATTTTATTGCAAATAAATTTAAGTTCCTCGCTCAGTATAAGAATAAACTCTGGAAAAGGTTCAGCTCAAGGGTTTCCAAGTGCAAAAGCAGCACCCCCCTGGGAGGGGGGTGCAGGTCCATCTTGTGCAGACGTCGGTAACTCCTTGGAAAAAAAAAGCAAGTTTTTGCAACAAAAAAACTCCACCCCTCTGCAAGTCCTCGCCTCCATCGGGTCCCAGCTGCCAAAAATCCTGACAGTCTCCAGCTCTGGGGTCACCCCCGCGGGCTCTGGGGGTCCCCAGCTCCGGCCCCTGGGCCAGCACGACTCCTCGGCCGGCAGCTCTGGCCACTGTCCCTCTGGGCTCCAGCCAGTGTCCCTCCAGGCCCTGGCCAGTGTCCAGCCAGGCTCGGCACGGCTCCCCCTCCATTCCCACCGCTGCGGCCGCGCTCCCCTTCCTCCTCCTCCTCCTGCTCCTCCTCCTCCTTCTGCTCTCCGGTCAAAAAATAAAATAAAATCGGTGGGTTCTTGGGTTTTGTGGGTTGGAACTGGCTCTGTTTTCTCCTTCTTTTTTATCCTGCTGGTTTATGTCGGCTTTTTTTTTTTTTAAAAGGGTTTTTTTTTTTCCAATCCTTCAGGTCCAGGCCGGGAAGGGGCCGGGAAAGGGCTTCAGCGCTCCTGCAGACACACGTAGGGCACCCACTGGTTCCTGTCGCGGCTCTCGGCGCAGTAACTCGCCACCTCCGCCAGCCCTTGGCCCTTCCAGGCGTCCGTGTGCGGGTTCTGGGGAGGGGAGGAAAGAGCACGAGGTTAGTGCCACCGGCGCCCCGACACGTGGCCCCGGAGCCCCGTCACCCTCCCCGGCGCCCGGCGCGGTCACGGGGCCCGCGGGCGCATCACGATGCCCTTCGCTCACCGTGACCAGGAGGCAGTGCAGGTCCCGCGGCTCGGCCCCCGGCTCGGGGTCCCCCCCGCCCAGGATGGCGGCGAGGCGCTGCATCCCGGACACGCGCAGGATGTGGATGTCGTTGTCGCAGCAGAACGCCTGGATGAGGGTGAAGTGGATCTGCAGGGCGATGTCGCCTTCGTCCTCCTCGTCGGTGGCCAGGACGCACAGCACGACGCTGTCGGGGTCCCTGTGAGGGGCACGGGGAGGGTCAGGACGGCTGTGGATGGTGCAACCCCTCACCCCCGGCGCTGTCACCCCCACCCGTGTCACCGGGGTCACCTCATTGCACGCAACCCCCCCAATGTGAGAACTGTCACCCCCTGCGCCATCGGGGTCATCTCACCGCGTGTAACCCCCCACCACGGGGGTCGCTCCCCCATGTCATCGGGGGTCTCCCGCGTGTAACTCCCTCCCGGAGCTGTCACCCTCCCGTGTC